GGATTCCTCAGACCCTCATAAAATCATAAATGGGACATTTTAATAATTGGGATGTTGAGGCAGAGTCACACTTAGAAGATCTTTAGGCTTTTAGTAAATTTGGGTTATGCCACAAGTTTGTTCTCCTAATAGAAAATTACAATTTACCTATAACAGGATGCGTAACTCAAGGAATGAATCATTAAAGAACTATTGGGCATTTTGTTGGTTTCAGTGACAAATACAGTTGTGGATATTTAAAAGCATAAACTCAAATGGTGACTTTAAATGAAGAAATAAATAGTGGCAAATCTAAAATTATACACTAAACCACATGCATCAAACTCAAGGCCCAAGGGCCAAATCTGGCCCTTATCAGCATTTTATCTGGCCCCAAAGATAACATTTTAAATGTAAAATAAATAAAGAGATAGTTTTGTCTTTTTTTATCACCGTATTGAGTTTAGTCTTCTCATGGCAGTAGTCAACTTTAATTATATTTTTGTATTCTCTTCTTATTTCAATCAACTGGAACTTTATTGAGGATTTTCTGTTAATTGATTTGCTGGATTTGTGATAAAAAATGTATCTCTCAAAAATCAAAAATGAAAAAGTAGTTATTAGAGTGTAAGACATTAGAAGTTAATGCAAATAATGTGTCTTTATCCGTTTATTAAACATTTGAAAATATGATTTTTTTTTTTATTCAAGTCCTTAAATATTTGAATATTTAAACATTCTAAGACAGTCCAAAAGAAGAAACAACTAATGTGGCTTTGGTCTGACACTAACCTAAAAAATACCTGCTTTAAAAACTGCCTTATACAAGAGGTTTTTCATTTAATTATATGCATCTAAGTAGGATATTTTCTGGATTGAAAAGTAATGCAGGTCAAAGTGATGTGTTCATTCTGTCAACTTTAAACCCGATAAAACGCTTACAATTACTAGTTGTTACCAGGTTAGCTATTTATGTGGCAAACAGGGGGTATTATTAGAAGATCAAAACTAAACGTGGATGCCAAAGGAGTCCTGCAGACAACTTCACTTAAAAAAAGAATTGTTAAGTAGATTTAATTTTGGGTTACGTCAGACAGCCATAAAATGTAAGTATAATTATACAAAGGCCCCATTTCTGTCTCCAGTCCTCCATAACAGCTCTTGTTTTCTTTATCTTCTGTTCTCAAGGCTGTAATCACATCCAATTTTGGGGAGTAGAGTATACCAGAGACACTGAAAAACAGCTGTTCTTGACATTATAACAAGAAAAAGACAATGTGGTATCCATCCATGGATAGTAACGGCAATGGATAAAAGACAAGAAAAAATTGTAGTATTTGTTGTTGTTGTATTATTGCTCATGTTGTACAGTAATGTAAGATATCCTGTTCATTATCAAAAAAGGAAACAATAAAAGCATAAATAATATTAGGTTTTATTTTATTTTTGCTGTCATTATTGAACAAACTTGCTTCTGAACAGTGGATGTTTTCCCCCCACACATTTGACCCCTAGCAGTCCTGTTATTATTGAGCATTGTTTGTTTTTGAGTTATTTTTTTGTAGGACTAACTCCTATATTGATCCTATTCTGCTTCTCTGCAACAGCTCATTAACATCAAAGTCAATTCTGCATGTCATTACAGAATCACACATCATTGGATCAAAGGTAGGGATACTCTCATGACTGAGCAGTCCTGGATACTCTGTAGTTTCACTGATTTTCACCTGCAGCACCTAACCTGTTAACTTTTCCAAGAGGCAACAAACTATGTCTGAGTTTGAGCATCATTGGTTCATTTTTTATATATATATTTATTTTTCAGTGAAAACACTGTGAGTTCTGTCCCATTTGTGCCTGAAAGTTTCTAATTATACACAGGTTTGTCAACTAGATCAAAACCCATTTATTTTTTTTTTCTTAATTGGAATAAACAGTGACGAGCTTAAAGTTTTCTTGCATGATGAGAGTATGGAGGCTAGTTTTCTTGCATGATGAGAGTATGGAGGCTCCTAAAACCTGCATGGTCAAAATTTATTCAATAACAAAATAAGAGATGAGGAAGAGCGTGTCCTATCATCTGGGAAACCAGCACAGAGAAAATAAATGAATAATGTAGTTTGTTGGTATCTTTAATAGCAGGCTGTGCTTTCATAATGTTTTTTTTTTTCAATACACCTTAAAGTAGATGCAGTAAATACACAAATGTTAATGGTGAAATCTGATGTTACTGATTCACATACTGAATGGAGTCTTAAAGATGTTATATGCTACAATATCATCTATCTGATATTTAACTGAAAGAYTTTGGATGTTTACATGACTTAACCATTTGCAGTGAAATAAAGTATTTTCAGAATAGCATTTTGTCACATTTATTTTGATGTTTACCTAAAATCTAAGACTGAGAGCCTGAACTATTCAATGATTATACTCAGAATATCAAGGTAATGCTACTAGTCAAATTAAAGGGAAATTTGGAATAAGTGTTTTTTTTTCTGTTTGGGCTATATACAGTATATATGTACAGAATATATCCAACATAGCCAAGTTTGTTGCAAAAAAAATGGCATCCCATTGGTGTCACAAATGTGGTTTGTCAGAGGTGGTCTATGCGTGGGCCAGCACCACATGAACCAAACCACAACTGCTACATTGACAGATTTTGGCCACATATAGACTAAACTACAACCAGGCCAGCAGTGGTATGCCATCTTAAAAAATGTTATCATTACCAGACCTGGTTCACCTCTGGTCGACAAACCCCTTGTCATGCCAGCAGTCAGCCAGCTGTGCCATCTTGACACCAGATCTGGGCCACACCTGTCTGCTATGTGGGATAATTATCAAAAGTACCAAACACTTTGAACATTTTGCCTTAACGCAAGCCAGTCCCCTTATTTCAGGGYTTCAAATATATATGAAAACATAGTTATTCAGATTTTGCAGCCGACTTCAATATCACAGCCAGAACTACCCATCTGCCCACTTAAACCTGTCAAAATGGCCCATTTGTCTTGAGAGTTGAAGGTCAGCTAATTGACGTCTCATCATTCAGTGTGGTTTATACAGAAGTAAATGCATTTAAGCACAATATAATGATTTTAAGGTCAACGTAGGTCACCACAGCCCAACTTGAACAAGATGTTATTTWAAAAAAATGCCTGATAAAACATGTTGAACTGCTGCTCTACTGCAGCTTTGACCTGCGGAGATTTAATTAGTATGAAAGAAACTTGACTAGAATAACATAACATTTAATTTATAATTGAAAATAAGCCAGTGATAATAATAAAATTGAACATTTGTCCTTTGATTGGTATTTCTAAGCCAATTTAATTTTTATATATTTTTATTATTTTATTGAAGGTTTACAGAKGTGGCCTGAAGCATCAGAGAAATAGAAATGTAATTTTTGTCACTGTTTTCATTTTAGCTTTTCATGTTTTTATTTATTTTTTTGCTATTTCATCCAACAGGTGTAGTTATTAAAATCATTTTCTGCAGAAACTCCTTAAGTTAACAGTAGATAAACTGAAAGAAGAGGAAATGAAACATTTTATTTTTATGTCTTTTGACACTCTGTCAATACCAAAAGATGGAAACAGCTTGTTCAGCAGAAAAGAAAATATATAGAAAAGGAAGTAAGAAAGCAAAGACTTTCTGCTAAAAGGAGAAAAGAGATAAATTAGTGCTTCAGGCTCTCTTGGAGGACACCAAGGATGAATTTGAATCGCATAATGGGATGCATATTAGTGAAAGTAATTTTGTTTAAAAGCAGTTATGCCCCAATCATTTCCTTTGCTCAAAGATAAGAATCAGAACATTGAACCATTTATAGCAGAGAAATGAGCTCATGGATGACTAAGTTCCACAATGACCAGTTTGTTGTTTTAACCATAATTACTTGGGGGTGAGCGGTCATACATTTGCATGCCATCATTCATTTCACAATACTGTTTAAATACTTAAAGGAATAGTTAAGAGAATAATATTTTACATGCAAAAGAAATTGCTCAATATTAGGTTGATGTCATCTAAAGGAAAACAACAGTTCCAATGAAATTTTTGCTATATCTTAACAAAGTTTGGTCCCAAAATATCCATACTCATTCAACACTTTTATAAATCTTTATACTGACCAT